CCACAACACCCGGCTATTTTTTGGTTGCAGCCGTCATTGTTGTTTGGTGGGTCCGGGCTGGGGATTCGAACCCGCCACCTTAGCTGTACGTGGCTGGCGCCTTAGCCAGTTGAGCTATAGGTGCCGAGCCAGAAACCATGTTTAAAAAGCAGAGAGGCCACAGGACAGAGAGGCACAGTTAAGGTAAGGCAACACACTTTCCATCAGGAGAAAGACCAAACAATGACTGAAGCACAACTTGCAAAATGCTAGATGGGGAAACATTGGCAGCTGAAACTTGCAGGAATTAGTGCTATCAGCTAATATTATCATTCAATGAATTATTCAGAAAAGGAAACAAACAGCAAGAGCAGCAAGTTGAAAGAACTTAGTATCATCTTAACAGGAGAAAACATTAATTTTCAGGGGCTGCTCAGAAGACTGAATTTGTTGAAGAGAGTCTACCTAGTTTCAGTGTTGAAAACTATCACGTAAGCCAGGTGCAGTGGCTCACGCCTGTAATCCCAGCACTCTAGGAGGCTGAGGACAGTGAATTGCCTGAGCTCATAGGTTTGAGACCAGCCTGAACAAGAATTGAGACCCCATCTCTAAAAAAAAAAGAAAGAAAAGAAAATAGCCAGGTGCTGTGGTGGGGCCTGTAGTCCCAGCTACTCAGGAGGCTGAAGCAAGAGGATCACTTGAGCCCAGGAATTTGAGGTTGCTGTGAGCTATGACATCACGCACTCTACAGAGGGTGACAAAGTGACACTCTGTCTCAATTTCAAAAAAAAAAAAGAGACAGTGTTCTTTTATCAATGCAGAATAAAACAATGAAAATGTCTGTAATTTCAACCTAAGAAGAAACAAAGGATGAGAATGAATGAGTATGATAAACAACCTTGAAAATACTACCTCTAAAAATCAGAAAGCAGACTGGGTTGCCAGATTCCAGGGAATTAACACTAATAGCTACCAAGCCTCTAAAATAAAATTAGTACTTACCAAACCACTTTTCCTAAAGTAAAAGCAATCTCATGAAAATAACAGGTAACTAGGTGGCACCTGTGGCTCAGTGAGTATGGCGCTGGCCCCCTATATTGAGGGTGGCAGGTTCGAACCTAGCCCCAGTCAAACTGCAACAAAAATATAGCCAGGCATTGTGGGCACCTGTAGTCCCAGCTACTTAGGAGGCTGAGGCAAGTGAATCGTCTAAGCCCAAGAGCTGGAGGTTGCTGTGAACTGTGATGCCACAGCACTCTACCAAGGGCAAAGAAGTGAGACTCTACCGTTTCTTTT